CAGCTCAGCCCAACCACGCGCTCTGTGAAAAGATGCCTGCAAGGCCAGCGAGCAGCCTTTGGGCGGCGGGAGTAAAGCTGCTCAGATTGCAGAGCCTCCCTCGCAAGCCCGAGCTCGCTCGTCCCATGCAGCCGCTGCTTTTTAAGGAGAGGTGTTCAGAGCGGAGTGGGCAGGAATGGGGCATCTCCATGGCTGTCAACCCCACAGGGAAAAGGATGGACACTGGTAGCCACGAGCCCCAATTTCAGGCCTTTCGCTCCCCGTTTCATGTTCTCCTTCAGCCACATCCCTCACCTGAGGATGGTTTGCTTCTCAGCCCCTCCTGGCTTAGCTTCTCACACCGTTAGGAGTGTAAAAAGGTGAGAGCTGATGGGAAGACAGGACTGGACGAAAGAGTGAAAAAGCGTGAGGAATAGCAAGATGGACCTAGAGCAGGCGTAGTGAAGGGGCTCTTCCCTGTCCCCTCCCACCCCAGCATGCTGTAGCCATCAAACATTGGCCTTTTTCCTTTCTCTAGGAAGAATACGACGACATCGTTATCAATTGTGGACATTAGAAGAGAGCCGAGGAGCCTGCTTGCCCCACACCGGAGTCTGCTGAAGGTGCTCCACTGTGGCAGCTGGCTATGATTTCTGTAGCAATTGCATCTTCACTGTGAGCTAGACGTGGATTATTTATAAGGGCCGGGAGAGAAGGGGAAGCTGCATCGTCTGGCCCAGAGCTGTCCTCCCCGGCCCCATTCCGATGTACCCTCCGTTATTTTGTTCTGCTTCAAAAATGGATTTCTTGTCTCTGATGTTAATGTCTCGTTCCTGCCTGCCTTGTCGTTTCTGAATCAGTAGGTTTGGGTTTTCTTTGTGAGCAAGTGGCTGATGTGTCCTGAGCAGATCCTAGTTGTGAAAAAGCCTCGTCTTTTCCATCTCTTTCTGGAGTACCCCCTGCCTTTCCTATGAACGCTCACGGTCAGATTCGTGTGTCCCCTTCCTCCTCACATTTGTCCTGTTACGTGGATGTTGTTCTGGAGAGCGGAGTGCCTTGAAACCTCGGATGGGCTCCCACCTCTCCCATCTGAGAGTTGGGGAACAAGGTTGCCATCCTGGCACGAGGAAAGTCTGTGATACATGCCCTTTGCGTGGCTTGGTTTTCAACTCCCCACAGCCCCAACCAGCACAAGACTGGGGGAGCTGTAGTCCAAAATCTTTGAAGAGGTCCAATCCTTTCCCTGGATTTCAGCAAGGCACCACCTTCATGGTCTGATAGCAGTTGTGCTTCTTTAGTTGAAGTGGGGGGTGTCTTCCTAAAAACAAGCAGCATTTAGGAAGAACAACTTCTGTTGTCCTTTTCCCCCATCCTGGAATGGTAAGAGAGTGGAACTTAATTTCCATTTGGACTGGCAGTAATTCTGCCAGCCCTGGCGAAGGATGCTGCTTCTCTCACCGACTGAAAGGTCAGTGTAATGCTCAGATCTCACCTCGGGTGGTCAACCATGAGTCCTGAAAAACTCCCTGATAAACTCCAAGGGAAATAAATGCTTTCGGCCAATCTTGCCCGCTGTTCCCATGGCGGCTTTATTTCTTAGACTTGGGAATAACCCGAAGTGTGAACTCCAGCTTTTTCCCCCCGGTATTGCCCTTCTGGCACAGAGACAAACTACAGCCGTTCTGCCCTTTCGATACAACCTTGGGTCGCCCTATCAGCAAGAGCAATTCCGTCCGCTCCCCAGTCTCATCTCTCCCCAGGATCCGACAGGGGCCTGAGAATTTTTTTGCCCCAAAAGGAGCCAGCTGATGCCACCGCTGGGAAAGGAAAGATGTTGGTGCAAATTGGGGATGGTTTGGGTCAGTCTACCACAGGGTTTCTCAACCTTGGCCACTTTAAGGCGTCTGGACTACAACTCCCAGAGTTACCCAGCCAGCCATGCTGGCTGGGG